AGAATTGAGGATATCATGCCTGGTAAATGCATCCTATTCTTAGAGCGAAAACCCGATCCTGCGAAAATTTTGTCATTCTTAATGTAGAAACATGATAACAAAAGTTTAGAGAGATTAAAAAAATTTGAAAATAAAGTTTAGAGAGTAAATTTACACTGTGAATAAGAGAAAATTTTAGAGAAAAAAAGTTTAGAAAGGAAAAACTTCGAGATAATATTTTGTTGGAAATGCAATCAAAGTCTCAAGTGATTACGGAAGGGAAAGATTTTGGATATATAAGTTATGAACAACATTTTCATTACAACGACGTCTTTTGGGTGATATTGTTCGACGAGAAATTCAATAAGAGAAAACTCGAATTAATGAACTTGTATTTGTATTTATGTATGTCGGTGTTACAATCTCTAATGTATCTGATTAATTCTCTCAAATGTAAACTTTAATTCAAGGGCTCGTAAGCTTGTTCTCGAATCAATGGTTGATGCCTTCAGCTTCTTGCTTTACGAAGGATCTTTGAAGTCTTTGACTTTGAGCTTATTTGAAGACTTTGATTTGTTGATGAAGTTCTTTGGCTTGTAGCTTGATGAAGACTTTGTGAAGTTCTTCGGCTTTGCGCTCGTGGAGTTCTTCGGCTTTATAGCTTGTGGAGTTCTTCGGCGGCTTTGCAGCTTGTGGAGTTCTTCGGCTTTGTAGCTTGTTGAAGTTCTTCGGCTTTCCAACTTGTGAAGTTCTTCGAGTATTGTTGCTTGGGAAGAGAAGATCCAATGTTCTTGAAGTCTCTTACTCTTCAAGTTTTGAATTCTTCAAGTCTTGTTGGCTTTGGATGCTTCGTTTGACTTTGAATGATTGTAGACAATTCTGAGTGTTTTTGATCTCCAATTCTTCTATCTCGTTCTGACCGTTCTTCTTCCAATCCTCTAAATGAGAGGTGACCCCATTCTATTTATAGAGCTTTTGTGTGTCTTATATGGGTCATGGGCTTAATGGATCATGGGCTTGGGCCCAGTCTCTTTATGGGTTTGATCCAATTAGTTGATTTTATCGGACGGCCATAAAAGAGATACGTGTCATAATTTGATTTGTCGATTTTAAAATTAATTTAGGACACGTGTAAATTTGTGGTTAGTCTTAAATATAATTTTAAATTTGTGACTTGACATTTCATAATTAGCCGAAATTTTTGTTTCAACATATACCAAAAACAAAATTAGGAGGGCTTATCCCCAAAGTGGACAATATCGTTATATGGAGATGTGGATGGTAGTCTCTTATCATTAACAAGTGATATTATAGCCTTGTCCCTAACTCAGCCATGTGGGGAGAATCCTCGAGTGCCGAATAAAGTGGCAAGCCTCTGGAAATTCATAGTTGAGCTATCCGATAGACGGTTATGCTTTGGTGAGAGTATAGGCGTTTGGTTAAAAGTGATTTGCTCATAATAAGACACCGATGAATGATTCTTTAAGGGGAAGCTTGATGATACTTTGTTCGAGGAAGGATCTCTAGACTAATTTATGTATGCTTAAAAGTAACCCATCTGACAGATCTAACTATCTTGCTAAAATATTATTCTATTTTTAAAGTTTCAAAATTTTGGATCTTAGAAATTAAAATATTTAAGTGAGTTGACACAAAGACGTTTTTAACGTGGTTCGGTTTCCCAACGTACTCCACGAGACAACGCCTAGAGAATAAGATTAACAATTAAAAGTTAGTACAATTTACAATCAATATTGACTTATGCATAAAAGAACTCCCTTCTTAAATTATGTCGCAATACTTGATGGACTTCTCCTTCAATTGAACAAGCTCCCCTTGCGTTGTAGATCACTGCTTGAACTCCCTTCTAGGGGTGAAAGGACCCGAACCGAATCGATTGGATTCAGTTCGGTTATTTCAAATGTCGGTTCGATTCGGTTCGGATCGAACCAACCGAGGGTTTTAAAAACTTACCCCACTTACCCTATTTCTTCATCTTTTTCTTTATTCAATCAACCGCCTCCCATTTCTCTCCCACTTCTCCCTCTCTCCCTTGAATCCTCTTCCTCCCCCCTCTTTGAAGCTCCTCCATGCCCCATTTCCTCCCTCCTTCCCACTCCCTCTCTCCCTTGAATCCTCTTCCTCCCCCCTCTTTGAAGCTCCTCCGTGCCTCACTCCCTCCCCCTTCCACAATCCCTCTCTCCCTTGAATCCTCTTCCTCCCCCTCTCTGAAGCTCCTCCATGCCCCACTCCCTCCTCCTTCCCCCCTCCCCAAGACGGCGGCGACAAAAATCAGAGGCGGCAGCGACAAAGAGTCACGACGGCGGCAAAAGAGAACTAGCGATTGGGAGAAACACCACCTCCCTTTTCTTTCTTCTCTTGCTTTGATGTTTTTTATATCTTCTTTTTGATTTTGAAGGTGAGTTTTGATGGAGGTCTTTATTTATTTATTTTGAAGGTGGGTTTTTGTATATTTTTGTTATATTTTGAAGGTGGGTTTGATTTTGAAGTTGGGTTTTTGTTGTATATTGAAGGTGGGTTTGATTTTGAAGTTGAGTTTTTGTTATATATTGAAGGTGATTTTGATTTTGAAGTTATGTTTGATTTTGAAGATGAGTTTTGATGTATTTTGTAGAAGGTAGGTTTTGAAGTTAGGTTTTGGTTAGGATGGAAGGTGGATTTTGATTTTCAAGGTTTGAAGATGGAAGGTTTTATTTGAATGGTTTTTTTTTAGTCATTCCATCGCTCGTAAGGAGAAACTCAGAGTGTGAAGAAGAAGACGAACAAAAAAACCGAAATCGGGTTGACCCGATTCAACTAAAAACCGAACATTTTCGAGTCGGATCGATTTTGTACGAAAATCGGTACAAAACCGATCCAAGCGACCAACTTACACCCCTAGTTCTAAGTTCAGAGCCAAGACTGGGAAACTAACAGAATGCTGATGTCTTAATGGTGAGTTTGATATTTTATATCATTTTTAATTATATGGAATTTTTTAATATTTTCCTCCTATTTTTTTTCTCTCTTTTTNAAGAAAAAGAAAAAAAATCGAAATCAAACAGACCCGATTCGACCCAAACCGACTAAAAACCGAACATTTTCGGGTCGGATCGGTTTTGTACGGAAACCGACCCGAACCGACCAACTTACACCCATACTCCCTTGAATGGTGGATGTGTCTTCTCTAATACTTGATAGAAATCTCACAAAAGAAAAACAACTCACAAAATTGTACTTATCGAATTACATAAAAAAATCTCTGTCAAAATTTTACATCATAAACAATACTTGAACAATTTGAGAGAATAAACAAACTTTACTCCACGCTTCTTTCTTGATATGTTACAAGCCAAGAAAAATTGACATGAGAACGAAAGTAAATTTATCACATTTCCAATTCAACCTCAAATCTCTCAATACAATTAAAACACAATTTTCATATAATCAATTAGTAAAACATTCCAATAAAGAAAACTAGCCGTTATAAACATTTAAGAGCTCAAATTCAAATTCAAAAATTCAAATGTACAAATAAATTAAATTAATTGAATTATACACATAAAATAAACAGAGAAAATGATTAAATAAAATTTAAAGTTTTTGCCAAAAATACCAATAAATAAAATTACTTTCACCATCAAAATAAAATAAAATAAATAATTTTTATTCCTAACTTTGACAAATTATATTAATTTTAATCATACAAGTTGAACAATTTTAAGTGTTAGCATTTAAAAGAGTAATTCAGTGTAACTTTTTACGGAATTCGTACTCTTTCATTTATTATTATTATTATTATTTTATTTTTTGAAAAAAAATTGTACTCTTTCTAGTGGTACCACATGATGCTTGTGCAATTGTGGATAAATAGTACGGAGGCAAGAAAATAGATAGCTTTTATTTTATCTTATAAATAATCAATTCTATATACTACCTCAATAGTAGTTTGGGAAAAGCATGAAAATGTGGAAAGCCATCACCTTTTTGCAAATTTAAAGTAATTTTTGGGAAAAATATTTGTTAAGAAAAGGGGACTCCTCTCAAAATAATAATAAATTTTGAATAAGAATAATTAAACATCATTTGTAATGTCAAAAAAGCTGCAATTTTGTGGACCTTCATTTTTCATAAACATCACTGTTAAACAATATTGGGTAAAATACATTTTTATCCTTAAAGTTTGAGTTTATTATCTATTTAATTTCTCAAATTTTAAAAGGAATATTTTGGTCTTCAGTTTGAAAATTGAAATATTTTAATTTATAAGTTTGAGAAATGGTTCTAAATAGTTTTTAAACTATTTACTTGACTGACCAAAAAGGTTTCTGAACAGTATGGGTAAAATATAAAAAATTAAGTTCGGTATCTATTTAATTTCTCAAATTTGGAAAGGAACGTTTAAAAAATGACTCTAAACAGTCATTGGACTAATGAAGAAATTGTTCACTTGGCTTTCTGCTCTAGCAATTATATTAGTTTTGTTTAATTTTGTATTCATACAGAGCTTATGTGGTATATCTCTTTCCACGTCGTTTGTTTTTTAATTTATCCCTTTAATTCTCAAACCTTCCATTCTTCTGTTTTAAAAATTTTGTTTCCTTTATCCCTGCAGTAGTTGTCATTGCCACTGCCACAGATTCACGTGTCTTGAGCGCCTAGAAGTTTCAGAAGAAGCAATTACAAATATTAAACAATTAACGGTAACATGTCCAAAAGTACTTTAAAAGAATTATGGTTTCAAAATCTTTTTGGCTGAATAGATAAATAATCAAAAGAAGACACAAATGATTTTCTGTGCCAAATTGCAAAATAAAAAACAAAAAACGAAAGGAAACAAAAGATGTCAGGGAAACGCATCATGTTTTTTTTTATTAACAAAATGAAAAGAGATAAAAAGGCGACTGGATATTTGTCTTCCCCAAACCCCTAACCATTCTGCTACCGAAACAGAGCCATTAATCACAAACACAAACTCAAAACCAAAACCAAAACCAAAACCACAGCCAATTATTTCTTCCTTCCAAATCAAACACCCTCTAAACTCAACTCTCAAGCATCTGCAACCTCCGGCGATTCCGCCGCCGCGATTAGCAGCTCTGCTTCTTCATCCTTCATTTCCACTTTCTTTCTTTCTCCATCTATGGCGTTCCCCAGCCCCAATGACTTCAGTGCCAAGTGCGCCGCCTTCTGCCCTGATATCATCATCGCCCCGAAAGTCGGTCCCTGGATTTTCAATTTTCAAACAGACTGATTAGACACAAAATTTAACAAAATTGAAATTATAGTAGCAGATATGATTTCTTTAGAGTGGTGTTAGTTGTTATTACCATTCTTGGAGCTCCGTCGATCTCGGCGACCTCCATGCCGGTGACGATCATACCGGG